GCTCTGTGGCCATGGTGGCTGCAAGCAGGTATCTGGGGTTTATTTACCTTCTATAATTGAAACTTTGTTGCCTTGAGAGGAGGCAGCAGCTGGCCAGGAAGCTTGGCTTCTTCCATCATTGGGGCAACCAAGCCTCCTGCTCACTCCAGCTCCATGGCTGCTGGACGCCATCTTGGTTGGGTTAATTTGCATACAGTTCCTCTGAATAGCTGGTGGGCGTGGCTTAAGGCATAGCAAAGATAGGTCAATTTGCATCTTTGTCTTTTATTAGTGTAGATGCTTTAAAAGTACTCTCAAGGCAAGTTGAAGTACATCTATGTAAAAAATATGACTGGGATTCATGCACACACCATCCTATATAATAAAGAGCTAATATGCAAATTGTTGTCATGCCCTCACCCCATCATGCTGTAAAGTCTCAGACACTCAACACTGGGGAGAGAAGAATGGGGACCAGCCAGGCACAAATGAGCTCGTGAGAGAGGACTGGGGATCAGCCAGGCTGTGGCCCGGAGAGGAACAAGCCATATGCCCCGTGGTCCCAGGCACCAGCAGCTGTGCCTGCGCCTGTGGCCCGGGAGAGGGACAATCCACTCGCCCCGTGGTCCCAGGCACCAGTGGCTGTGCCTGCACCTGCGACCCGGGAGAGGGACAAGCCGCCTGCCCCATGGTCCCAGGTGCCTGCGGCTATGGCCTGGGCGAAACCGCCTGCCCAAGTTCCCCTGTGGCTGCTGCTGGCCCGGGCAAAGCTGGCCTGGGTTCTGGGTGCCTGCAGCCAGCCAGAGGGAGAGAAGCCCAGGTCCTGGGTGCCTGCGACCAGCCTGAGGAGGGAATCCTGGGTCCCAGAAGTGGGGTGAGGCAGAGGTGGTTAGGGGCGATCAGGGGGGTAGGGGAGCAGTTAGGGGCAATCAGGCAGGTAAGCAGAGGTGGTTAGGGGCTATCAGGCAGGCAGGCAGGTGAGTGGTTAGGAGCCAGCGGTCCTGGATTGCAAGAAGCAGTTGGACATACCCCAAGGGGTCCCGGATTGAGAGGGTGCAGGCTGGGCTGAGGGACCCCTCCCATGCACGAAATTCGTGCACTGGGCCTCTAGTTTTGTAATATTAGGAGATAAAATGTAAGTGGGGAAGCATAGTGAGCTGCAAACTGAATTATATTCTTGTCCTTCATCCCAGAAGATGACACTTCCCGTGGTGATCACAATGCATGCTGGATGTCAGCAAAGATGGATGTGTGACCAGCAGTCCTTTTCACTCCCTGCATACATGAAGATTGCTGTTTGATTTGTGGCTGTGGCCATAATTTGCAAAGCTTGTCACTGCTTGCAAGTTATAGTTAGCCCAAAGCTTTGTTTAAAAAGGGCTGTCCCATTCCAGATTATTGTACACCAGATTGCTGTGTCAACTAAATTAACACATTGTATGCGGGAAACGTATTTATGCGTTTTGCATTGACTGGTAGTAGAGTGGCGCGGGACACGTATTAATACGTTTTTTATAGACTAGCGGTAGAATACGGGTAATGTATAAATACGTAAACTAAAGTTATCGTAATTTTACTGAACGTTGCCATTTGTGCAAAAAATTAGCAAAAATGGCCTGTGCCACCTGTTAGCATGCGATAAAAACTACCCGCAAACAATGTGTTAATAACAAGGGGCCACGTATTATACCAGGAAACTTTTTCCCAAGCTATAACTCTGTCTCTTGATTTCTGTTTGGCTTCATTCATCTCCTCTTGATGCTACAGATAACATTGTCATAATAAATAATTCTTATTTAATGAAGATTGTCAAGGTAAAATGGTGGAACTGGACATTGATGGGAACAGAAGATTCAGAAAAAGGATGATTGTAGAGGATGATAGAATTAGAAAGAAGTAAGGTGAAGACGTGGTAGGGGTGAGATGGAGCTACATTATTTTTTCTCTTTTCTTACTTTCCCCGTACATTGGCTTTCTTCACATAGTAGCTGGCAGTTTCTTTAGGAACTCATTTATAATTGTGAGAGAGTTTTAACAGAAGACTAAGAGAGGAGAGGGCCAGTTTGGTATGTAATAGATTGGTTTTCTTTTCAATTCAATCTCATTAGCATAGGCTCATTTACTATGGACATTTACTCTCAAGGCTAACTCTCCATGTGTATTTGAACCAGCAATGGTTTCACTGTAGATGGAACTATGTTGGTGATGGAACATGTTCATTTATCATAGAATGGATAGACTTTGTTTACAGTTGGGATCCCTTTCATCCTAAGCCTGTACATTTTAAGGTATATTTGGAAGCCTTTGCCACTTTGCTATATCTACGAGGCTTGTGAAAACTCAAGTGATAATGTATCTCATTTGAGAATCACCCGAATTCCCTTGAGCTGAGAGAATAACAGGAAAAACAAATGGCTACTTTTTTAAAGTGATAGCCATTCTGGAAGGGTTGTTCTCTTAGTCTCCTTCCTGTCGTGTTGTTGTGCATCTCCGTAAGCCCCCTGACAAGTCTTGGAATAATTAAGCATTATTGTTTTGGATTCCCAATCGTATATAATAAAAGAGAAACATGTAAATTGACCATCCCTTCGCTATGCTCACCAGCCAATCAGGGTTAATATGCAAATTAACCTGACAAAGATTGTGGGTTAATTTGCATACACAGGCGCCAGGTGGAGAGCAGAAGTGGAAAGCCAGCAGCTTGGGGGATGGACGTGACTCCCTCGGTTGCTCCCTCAGTCGCTCCCTTGGAGGGCCGTGGCTCCCTTGGTTGCCAGGCGGAGAGCAGAGCAGGAGAGCAGGAGGCTTGGGGGGCTGTGGCTCCCTGGGTTGCTCCCAGCATGGGGAGCACCAGGAATTCTGGGAATAGTAGTTCTGATGGCAGCCCCAGGACCGGAAGCAGAAGCCCAGAGAGCGGGGAGCACCAGGAATGCTGGGAATCATAGTTCTGGTGGCAGACGGATCTCCTAGACACTAGAGCAAAGTAAGCCTGGAGCAAGTTACTGTTGCTTTGGGGGATGGAGGGAAAGCAAAGGTGAGAGACATAAGTAAAATCAGAGTGTCTAGGAAAAATTAAAGGGAAGATATCCTAAAACTTCCAGGAAATCTCCACCAATGAAGCAAAGCAAAAAAAAAAAAAAGCTTCTATTATTTTGTGAGCAACAAACCAAACTGGGTTGGGGGGTCTCAGACAATTTGTTCATATGATTGCAAAGACAGACAGAAACTCCCAGATTGGAGAGGGCTCCCCTGAGGGCTCCCAGATTGGAGAGGGTGCAGGTCGGGCTGAGGGGAAGCCCCCTCTCCCCCACTGCCTGTTGACAAATCTTCGTGCACCGGGCCCCTAGTATATTCTATAACTAAGGATAAGGTCAGCTTCACCAGAAGAGCAATTCTTGTATTGCAGTGGGAGAAAACCAGGAGCAAGGGCTGGCCACAGTTTGGAATATACACACATGAAATTATTACTTTATTCCAAATTATTCCCACTCCCCTATCCACCCAATCTTGGTGCCCACACTCTCTATATTTCTGAATTATAGGGTCCAATGGGGTTCCTCTTTGACCACATGGTTAAGCCAGGGGAGAAAGCCATGATAAGCATCATTTTATCTTTAGCAGAAAGAATCGCGCCCAATGACTAAGCATCTACTGTTTCATTCTGGATAGCCTGTGTGAAATGTGAAAAGTTCATGCCACACAAAGCATCAGGAGTGCTAGCAGAGCAGAGGAGCTGGCAGATTTCATTGCCAAACCAGGGTCTTTGGACACCAGGTGGATATTTCTCACCTGCATTTTTCTTTCAGTAGTGGGTGCTGCCAAAATTCTCAGCAATCTCTCAGCTGTACAACAATATGTTCCCAAACTAAGAAATTATATATATATATATATATATATATATATATATTAAAAGCCTGGTCTCTTGTAATTGCACTTGGAAGCTCTAGTCTGGGAGGTAAAAAACTGCCACTTTGACAAAGACTGTTTTGTTAGCCTGGATTGTTATAAAATGGAAACGAACCATCAGATAGAAGGGATGTTAGGGCCACTGACCAAGAAAAGGGATGCCACCACTCAGGAGGAGGTCAGAGGAGGATGGACTGACAGAGGAGGACAGGGATCTTCATTTTGTGGGTTCAGAATCTTCCAGCTGAAAGGTGGATAAAATGCAGGGCTTGACATCTCAGGACAAGAGAAATACAGCTTCAGATGGGAGACATTTAAAATGGCTTCTTCCTCAAAAGGCAAGAAAGAAGATGCTCAGAATCGACAGAGGGCTATGTGTGTGACGCATAGGTCAGACCAAGACCTGCAGCGTTATATATGTAAGAGAAAGAATAATCTTCTGTATGTTACTCTAAATAAAGCTTAATCACATAGGAGCTTGAATATAAGTCATTCTAACTTGTGTCTTAGATATACTGTTTGAGCCTTCCTCTAACTTGCATATCTCATGATCAGAGTAGAAGATAGAGATAAAACTAACTGTGCAATTGATTTAGCAGATATATCTTTATAGAAAATATACTGAGCAAATCTTGTACTATACATGCTTCTCCCTAATACCCACACTGAGGGTGCCTATCCCACCTTCATAGGTAGGCTTACGTGTAGATAGATGGTCTTTTGGATCATTCACTCTGGCTGAGTGATACACATCCACAACTGAGAGCCCAAGAGGCTTGAAAAGTGGGAAGTGTGTGTGCATGAACATAAACCTGACCTGAGCTGAAATGAGGCCATTTATAGACTTATTTGATTTTAGGAAGCTGCCTTGGGCTCTGGCAATAGCCCTAAAATATTTCAGACAAGGAGAGTATAGACCAATGTTGAATTTCTCTGGATTTTAGGACATAGTTTTAGGAAGAAAGGTATTAAAAATGTTTACAATTTAAACATATTTAATTTTAAAAAGTAAAACAATGGACACAAACATTTCTGTCCAGTTGATTTAAATTTTCCCTTACCATCTTTGGTTTGATTTCTCTCTCTCTCTCTTTTTTACATTTTTACTATTCTAGGATGAATCCTCCATGTTCTTCCAGTTTGGCCCATCTATTGAACAGCAAGCTTCCGTGATGCTCAACATCATGGAGGAGTATGACTGGTACATCTTTTCTATTGTCACCACCTACTTCCCTGGCTACCAGGACTTTGTGAACAAGATTCGCAGCACCATTGAGAACAGCTTCGTGGGCTGGGAGCTAGAGGAAGTCCTCTTGCTGGACATGTCCCTGGATGATGGAGATTCGAAGATTCAGAACCAGCTCAAGAAACTTCAAAGCCCCATCATTCTTCTTTATTGTACTAAGGAAGAGGCCACCTACATCTTTGAAGTGGCTAACTCAGTAGGGCTGACTGGCTGTGGCTACACGTGGATTGTGCCTAGTCTGGTGGCAGGGGATACAGACACAGTGCCCTCGGAGTTCCCCACCGGGCTCATCTCTGTGTCCTATGATGAATGGGACTATGGCCTCCCTGCCAGAGTGAGGGATGGAATTGCCATAATCACCACCGCTGCTTCTGACATGCTGTCTGAGCACAGCTTCATCCCGGAGCCCAAGAGCAGTTGTTACAACACCCATGAGAAGAGGATCTACCAGTCCAATATGCTGAATAGGTGAGTATGGCACAGAGCGCACACTGTCGGTGGAGGTCAGAGTTTAGCTTCCAAAACTGGGGCTGGACATTCAGAAACAGTAGGAAAGACAGTTCAAGCTATCAGTGTTGAAGGCTAGCCACTGGATGGCAGTTATCCATGACGGTGTGAGTGTTTCCGATCCAAAGCTGGCTGTTTCTGTGTTTTTGTTCTGAGAAATATAAAACTGCTCTCACTTATTGAGCATTTACTATGTGATAGGTATTACTCTACGTGTATTGCATTTTTTACCTCATTTATTACTCAAAGCAACAACTTTAGGAAGCAGGTTTTAAAAATTGTTTTCATTTTACAATATAAGAAAATAAGGCCTATAGGTGTAAATTATCCAAATGAGAGATTTGTTTGTAGTTGAACCCTCTCTGGTCACCACATACTTGATCACTCTGAAAGACACCATAGGCACTGAGACAAGGGAGGACCAGCCCTCTTATCCCTGGAGTGCTGCTGTACTGGGAGGAAATGGAGAATGGGTTAATGGGTGTGTAGGCCATGAAGAGGATGCTTTCCTTGGTTTTTCTCTCCTTTGCTTCTCCTCTCTCTACCTTTAAGAGTGAGGATGCTGCGATAGAGGTGTCTTTTATGGTGTCTCTTAGTCTGATTTATTCACTAAGAACATAAGGGTGGTGGAGTTCTGCTCCCCTGACCTCACCTCATAACACAGGCATAACTGCAGCCTATTCTCAAAGGGTAATTATGTAATGATGAAGGGCAGAAAACTCTATAGGATGCGTTTATGGTTTAGTTATTTGTATAAAACTGTTACATGTGCAATTATAAAAAAAAAATCAAGCAACATAGAAGAGCACAAAGAAGAAAGTAAAAATTACCTTAAATCCAACTAATGAGAGATAAACATGGTTGAAAGAATTAGTGACCATCATTCTAGACATCTCCCTGTGCATGGATACCTATATGGATATAAATCTATAATTTTATATAAATGGAAATGTATACATGCTCTTCAATAACCCAACTTTCTTTTACTCAGCAATATGTTTTGGGCATCCATTGTAAAATTATCAGTTATATCAGACACATAGCAAGGTATTCAGAAAAGCTTAATACATGCTCAGGTCCCCACCATTCAGCTTAAGAAATAAAATATTAGAAAGTGTATCTGGGGAGGTTGACATACATTTAGTGGTGGTTGAATGTGTACCTGCTTATTCTTGGAAGGGAGTTGGACTGTTGCCTTTCAGCTAAACTCCTAAATTTAGAGTGGAAACTAAAACTGGTATTAATGTAGCTGCATCTGTGATCCAGTCCTAATATTCTCTCACCTTGAACTTTGCTCTTCCTGCTTGTTCGTAGTGACTGTCGTAGTTTTCTTTCTACCTCTGGTAATTCTGTCTCAGGCTCATTGGCATGCTCTTCTTCCTTTACACACCTCTTAAATACTAGTGCTTCTCAGGACTCTGTCCTAAACCCTTTCTTTTCTTATCCATTGCCAAAGATACACTTAATGTCTATAAATTCCCCCAAATCTCTGGCTGCAATCTTTCACTTGAGCCCCAAGTCTCTATCTCTAACTGTGACTAGATACATTTCTTGAGAACATGCCATAGCCGAAGCTGTCAAGCTGTCCTGCTTTCTCCTCCTACTTCTTAGAGCCAAATCTGCACCACCTATAAAGGGGGCATCCTATTGCCCACTTGCCTAAAATAAATATTTTCAGTGTCCTTGATTCTATATCCCTGACACCTAATAGCCAATCATGCCATTTTCTGTGGATTTCCTCTGGAGTGCTTTCCCTTATTTTCATATTCATACCATACCCCAGCCCATCTCTTCTCACCTGCATTGCTGCAGGGCCTCTTAAATATCTTCTGGCTCCCCATTCTGCCTCTTTTCAATCTGCATTGTAGCCCAGTGGTCTGAAGTGAATATGTGATGTCATCCCTCTCCTGCTCACTACCTTTCAGTAGGTCTTTATTGCCCCTGCGATAAAGTCCCATCTCCGTAATATGGTTTACAGAGTCATCCGCAGCATGGTTCCTCCTGTCTTTCCAAAATGGTCCCATGCTGCTCTGTGCCTTAAGCACTGCATTCCCACAATACTGGCCTTACTTTAGTTCTTTGAGAATACCCTCTTCTCCCTCACTTCCAGTCAGTTTGTTCTGTGTAATCCCTTCCCACCAATACACAAATGCAGATGCTCCCTTTACCTGTCTCAGATTCTCCATGCTTCAGGTTTTAGTCTTGGCATCGCTTCCACTGGGAAGGCTTTCCTGAACCCTGGACTAACATCAGCCTGTAACATGCCTTCACTGCATCTTGTGCTTTTCCAATAAAGCCACTCTTCAGAATGTTATAATTACATGCTTTATTATCTCTCCTCCCCGTAATTCTGGGAAAGCGGTGACCTTTCTGTCTTACTCATGTCTATGTCACCCACTCCTAGCATAGTGTGAGTCCCAAGGAAGACACTTGGAGTGAATGAGTGACATCCTCCAAGATGCTGAGCTGTCCAGTGCATACCCACCCTACAGGAGCTTTCTCATTCTGCTCCTCTCTGCAAGATAATAGAGATTTCCTTTAAAAACTCCCTGTGTATTCTTTTCTTTACATTCATGTTTTGTCCCATTGTTTTTAGTGTTAAATTTAAATCTGATTTAGATTATTTTACCAAATGTTTGTTCTTTAAAAAAAATGCTAACAATGAATGAATAAAACATTTGCTAAACAACACAAAGCAATCAAGTGGGTGTTACCTTAAAGTCCATAAATATGGTCCAGGAATGTCTGCTTTTATCTTAAAAGCTCCTCTTTATAAACAGGGATCTGTACATATTATTATTTCCCATTTGGCTTCTTTACATTAGAATGTAAATGTGATTTCTCAAGCCTGGCCTCTAACCACTATACTAAAACCATAGTTGGTTTGAACCTTTGTTACCATCTCTTCTGGCCACTGGGAAGGTAGCTCTCCTGGGTTCTCTATGCTTCTTCCTTAGAGATTATTGTCAAGATAGCCACAAATGCCCACCTCCATCTTCTCAAGTACAATAATCTACACCATGCAGGTTATTCATAAATTCCTTGAGTCCCAGTGTGGAGGAGAGAGAAAAGGTCCACCATCACTTAATTTCCCAAGTATACTGTGTAAAATGTGTCTTCCAACTTTTCAACATCCTTCTCCACTGAGGCATTTCCTCTGTGAACTCTCTCTCCTGCCCTAGTTCCATGATTTCTCTAGAGGTCTGTATCTAACAATGTGGGACATCTTCTATGTGCTCTCTTCCTGTCCTTATCCCTGCATCCCTCACTCATTTCCACCATCTTTTCCTTCCCTTCCTCCCAAATGCAGCTTCTCATGGTTCTTGAATCCAATCCCTAGCCTCTCTTAGAAATATATTAATCTGTTTTTCTATCAGGATCCAGAAAGGATTGATGCTGACTAACAGGGACAAGAAGGTGCTATTCTTAAAGTCTGAGCTGTTATCACCAGGCACAGCACTCAAAATCATCTACTTATTCCTTCTACTTATCCTGGTCTGAAATCAGACTCTTCCTCCCTTCAGAGTTCTGGTCTCAATAGGGTTACTCTTTTAAATAACAAACCAAGCAGCCACACCATTTAGGCACAGCAGGAAATCTTTGCAAAATAATATTGTTGCAAATGGTTGGTTGTTTTGTGAGGATGGGCCTCTGTGGGCCTGCTGCTCACCCTCCTGTAACAGCAGTGGGAGGAAGCCCCTCAGGAGGTATCTGGGAGTGACCCGGCCCTACAAGACAGATTTGGGAAAGGGTTACTGTTGTCCTCTGACCTTCTGAACACCCAGAAGCATCAACAGGCCTGTCCTTTCAGAAGCACTATAAGGGGAGGTAAAGCCTTCCTTTATACCTGAACAGCCTGTGGCTTTCCTTTCACGTGAGGCAAGTTCCTAAGTCTAGATTTAGGGAACAGGGACAGGAGGCTCTGTGATACCCCTGAGTGCCAAAAAGAGACACATATTTGAAGTGATTCACTTGTTACTGAAGGAAGACTTTTTTTTTTTTTTTTTAATGACATGTAAGCATTCTCAGAGAGGATCCTTAAAATGAGCTATTTTAGTTCACTATTAAATAAATGTTATTTATCACACATCAATCCAAATTCCTTACTGGTTATTTCTTAGCTCTTGAAGTTCCTTTGACTAGACATGGTGACTGTTTCCAGATAGGCCTTAGACTGCTGGCCAAGGCTTTTGACCTGAGTAACAAGAAAAATACAGAAATCCAGTTAAATTTAAATTTCAGATAAACAATAGATCATTTTTTTTTAGCATCTGTCACAAATATTGCATGGGTCGTGCTGATACTAAAGGATAATTTGTTGTTTATTTGAAATCCAGATTTAACAGGGCTCCTGTATTTGTTGCTAAATATAACAACCCTATTTTGTACACTAATAAAAATGAACTTTCTGTTGGAATTTTGTAGCTTTCACTTATGCCTTATTGGTAAATGGACTGCAGTGTCCTATACTAGCAATTTTCAACCCTTATACAATTCTGTGGCGCACAAAATATATTTTTTGTTGATCTGATAAAAAAAAAAAAGGGCATAATTTTGATTCATTCACGTTGGACAGCTATTGTTGTGTTGGCTGTTGACATTTTTTTTTTTTATTTAACAGTCTACCCTGACTAAATAGTCAGGTATTGCATGTTTTAAACATTCCTACGGCACACTGGTTGAAAATGACTGCCCTATACCATAGCCTGAGACATGCTGAGGGAGTTTTATTCCAACTGGGAACTTGATTTGATTGAAAGAGTTAGAGACTTTCTTATGTGTGCATTCTCTAAGTGAAGGACTTTCTTAGTTTCTGAGAAAAATCTGAAAACCCTTTGGTTTCAGATGATCTGAAAGGGTTGAGAAAGGGATTTGGCCAGTCGTCCAAACCCTTCTTTATCTCCCCGAGCTAGAGAAGAGTTGTTAGCTGTTAGTAGGCACACATCTATATTTTTCCTTTA